CAAGGTTAAGGATTGTGCAATGGCTATAGCATCATGAAATATATGAAAGACATAGTCAAACATGTGCCAGTTGATGAGATTATGCCTAAGCATGTATTTCTCCTATCACGACTTTATTAGGTTTAATAATTTACATTATATTATCACATATGGTTGGTTTAATGTCACTTTGAGGATGCATATATTGAGGAATATAATCCAGCTCTGATTGAAGAAGTCTACAGAGAGTTGGCCCAAGATTTATTGAAGCAATGGGTACAAAGAAGACAATCACTTTGTTCATTAGCTTATTGCTCAATAAATAGGATCATATTACAGTTCTTTTATCATGATTAGGAAAAGCATAGTTACTTTGGCTATAAGTTTTGATTTTTGGTTAAAACTTTTTGGCCAATTTACTTTGCAAGAGGTTTAACTTGTTTGCAAATTTTTTGTTGAATTAGTTTAATGTATAGGCATTTTTTTTTGTTAAGATAATAGAATTTAGGGAAATAAAGTTGGATTATTGAAATAATGATCAATGCATGCAAAATTTGATTTCATTTGGAATTTTGTTACTGGATATTTTTGCTGGCCTATATAGTCTGTATTGTTATTGTTGGGGGCTGGTATATAGTGGTTATCTTGAAATAATTGCTAAATAGTTTAATGGCCAAGCTCTTAAGGAGGACCAAAACTATGCCTAACTATGTAACAGTTTTTTTAAAATAACCACTGAATATAAGGCAAGTATTTAACAGTTATTTCAAGAAAAACTATTGTATAATTTATTGAATTGTCGGGATCGATGCCTCATAACTAGAACAAAATATATAATAGGTATTTGGAAATAACAATTATATAATGATTAAAAACTGTTATATAGATGCTTTGAGACTATATAGCCTCAATATATGGTGGTTGTTTTAAGGACTAAAAATTGCTATATAGAGCCTTGTTTTAAGTATTGACTTTAGAGCCATTCCTTCCTTTTGCAAGACTTCTATGTAATTAGAATTCCTTCTTTTGCAAGACTTCTATGTAATTAGAATTCCTTCCTTTTGCAAGACTTCTATGTAATTAGAATTTTTCAATGGGACTCAGATTTTCCCAAACAATGACATCATGTGTGTTGCTAGTTATTGATGAAGTCAAGTCAATATTGCTAATTGCCGACACAATTGACTAGGAAGGCTCCGCCCATCTTCCCATTGTGACTTTTGATACTAACAGATAAATTAAAGTCGGTGGTCATGACTCATCTAATTTAAGGGTGAAAAAAGTTGAGAATCTTAAACTAGGGTTAAGGGTATTTTTTAACCCTTCAAATTTTTGTTGAACCTTGATTTTGATGATTACATAATAAAGAAGATTTTGTTTTTATAGAGATTTTAATTTTTGTTTAATGGAAATTAAGAGCATTTGGTTTATTTGCTTAATTTCTAACTCCCTATTCCTTTTTGTCATCTTACCCAAAACTTAAATTTATTATTGAAATAAGTATTTTATTTTTGACAAATCCTTTCTTAAATCTATCTTGTTTTTGATAAGGTTTTAGCTTGAGTTTAATTATGTTATTAACAGTTTTGAAGAGATTTGGTTTTAACCTTTAATCAATAGTTTCTCTATATCTCTTAATATACAAATTGGTTTGGTGTGAAACTTCTTTCATTTAAAAATAGACTTGTACATCTTTACAAAGAACTTGATTCAATTTCATTCAAAATAGTTTTTATATGAAATAAACATGACTTTTCAAAATTGGCTGTTGGAACTTCCAGACCTGCAGAAAAACGTTATTGACCTTTGCTCATCATTTTGATCATATCTCTCAAAATACTTTGAATCTTCATATTGTTATTATTTCGTTTGAAACTAGACATCCAAAGATTTCCAAACATATGTCATTTGCCTGATTTGAATTTAAAATGAAAAAGTTATACCCATTAGAAGTTGACCTATATTGTCTTAAAAGCTTATTCCGGTACAAAGCTTCCTTATACCGAAATAAAACTTCCTTATACCAGTATAGTGATACTTATTCTAGTATAAATATGCAGAAATATGGTCTTTTTTTTCATGTTTTGATTTCTTACTCTTCAAAGCTCATTCAATATCAATTCCTTTTACTTTTCATGAGTTGTGTTAACCTTATAACCTTCCTAAAATCCTTTTTTACACAACTTTGGGTTAGATTAAACACTGATCAATTCTTACAAATCCTTTATACCCATATAGTAACTTAACACTTCTTCACACATGAGTTCTTGCTTATATCGGTACAACTATGAGGATTTATGCTTTGTTTTTTGATCTCATTTCTATTCAATTCAAAGCTCACTCGTTATTAATATCTTTCATATTCTTAGTGCTGGGCTTTCATATTCATATATCTAGAAGCTTTCTAAATATATTCTAGGGTCAGATTAAACTCTTATTCAATTCTTGATTTTTCTTTATACTTGGATAGCTTTTGTTTTTCCGGTCTTCATCTCAATAGTAATTTTGCTAGAGTGTTAAATGCATATAACCATTACTTTCTTGAAGTCACCAAAACACACAACTTCACTGTAAAGCAATGTTTTATCACTACATTATTGGAGAAACACAGAAGGAAAGAAGAACAACACTCCAAAGGCTATTCTTAACCTCACTATAAATACGGTTCATCTATAAAGCGGACATAGAGAAGTGATTTGCACAAATATACACATGCTTTTCTAACCAACTTCTTGCTACAATCTCCATTGTTTGTGAGCTTTACTGATTGTAGATTTACTCCCTGAGAGAGATTTTAACAGTAGCAGTTCATTCTTGAACTTACTCTATTTATCACTGTTTTTCATATCTAAAACAGAGGAAACTTAAGTTCGGAGAGCTTAAGGGAATTTATTATTATCTTTGTAAGGGGGAGAGTTTTACTTAGTAAAAAGCCTATGCTATATTGTGGCAAGCAAAAGCCTATTTAATCTTAGTAAGAGGCTTTCTCTTAAAGCTAAAATCAAGGCGATGTTCCCAGATATTGACACTAGGTTCAAATCAAAGTTTGTGGGGCCAAGCATAGGCTCAAGTAAATAGAGTTGAACCAGGATAAACTCTATGCAAAACTTCTCTTCTTTGCACTCAGTTTTGTTTGGTCATATCATTCTTTACTTATCTTTATTTTTGCATCACTTGTTTTAAATTTTAATTAGTTCAATTCATCTCTCTCTTGGGCATTTTTTACACTTTTCATGTAAGTATGCAAGTGTTTTGAACTCTATTTTGAGTCATTTTTTGTCCTTGAACTGTTAAAATTGGACGCTTTGTTATCTTACCATTCACATGTCATTTATTGATTGTTATCTGCTTAAGTGGACACATCCATGTGGCATCTAAGTATATGTGTTTCAGGACATCTATTAGGTTTTTTAAATTTTAAGGGAAAAAATGACCAAAAAATATCGAGTTTAGGATACCAAGTATTTCTTAATGAATACTCTGAGGGCAAAAGTGACCTTACCAAATTCTGACCCAGCATCCCCTTGGATGCCATAGCAAGAAAACAAGGCATTGGATTTTAAGAGTTTGAGGGCAAAAATGATTTAAAATTGACTTCAGGACATCTACAAACCCTATGAAAAAAGTTTGAGGACAAAAATGATCCTTAATCCTTTAAATTATTTAATTTTTGAAGTGGACATTTAATTCTCATTTAAAAATAAAGTTATGTATTTTGAAATCTTCGATACAAGATTCTTAATAATGCTAACATTTAAACAATGATGTACATAGTTTTAGTGAAATTAAAGAAAAGAAAAACGACATCGGAATAATTAGTTGTCCATAATCAATCCGGTTTAACTCCGCCTGTCACATCTACTCTTCTACTCTTTTTAATCATTTACATTAATTTTACCTGTTTAAATTCATTTACATTTTATAACTTAATTAAATATTTGGTGTAAAATGTTAAATGTACGTTATTTAAATTTAATCTCAAACACAGTTTCTTTGGCTTTTTTGGTTCAACCTCCAATAGAGTATAATAGCTGTACTTGTGAAAATAGTGTCTGGATCCTCTCCTCATCCCTTCTCTCCTTTCTTTTCTCCTCATCCTCATCTCCACCCTTAAACAACAAAATAATGGTCCAGATTTATATGTTTTATGAAATAATTATCATATTATCATATAAAAATAAAGATAAATTTAAACTGTTAAAATTTGACCTGCACAATTTACAGTTCTATGTTGTTATTAAATTTTCTATAAATTAATTTTATTTATTTATTTTACTGCAGTTATGAACTATGCAGATTAAATTTTAACAGTTTAAAATTATTTATTTATTTTTTAATATACTATTATGATGATTTTTTTTATGAAATAATTGAATCTGAGCCCTTCATTTTTTAACCAAAGGTGGACATAGGGATGAGGAACAGAAAATGAGAGAAGGGATGAGGAGATCTTCTTTTCTTCTCCACATCCCTATCTCCACCTTTGGTTAAAAAATGAAAGGGCTCAGATTCAATTATTTTATAAAACAATCTTCATAATATTATATTAAAAAATAAATAAATAATTTTAAACAGTTAAAATTTAATCTGCATAGTTTATAACTGTAGTAAAATGAGTAAATAAAATTAATTTATAGAAAATTTAATAACAGCATAGAACTATAAATTGTGCAGGTCAAGTTTTAACAGTTTAAATTTGCTTTTAGTTTTATATGATGATATGATCATTATTTTATAAAAATAAATAAATCTGGATCATTTATTTGGTTGTTTAAGGATGGAGATGAGGATGAGGAGAAGAAAAGGAGAGAAGGGATGAGAAGAGGATCGGACCCGTAAAAATAATGTGTTAAAGTCAATATGGATTGTCATTGTTTGAACTAGTCCTTTGCTCGTGCCCGGTGGTCAAAAAAAAAAAAAAACAAAGTAAAAAAGAAAGAAAGAAAGAATCAGTCTTTTCCCTTTTTTATTACATTGGGTATGTGTCGTTGCTATCCTTCCTAGCTACTTCTTTCTTTGAATTGATAGCCTTCTAAAGAGAAAACATACATACAAGACCGCGTAATCTCAAATTGTTCGATCTCCAAAACAGGAATTGAACTTAATCAATCCATTTGCAGAGCTTTAATTATTATATGCTCTCTTGCTATCAATGTCTTCGTCTTCAAATTCCCAACCTTCATCTTCAGAACCTGCTAAATGGAGCTACGATGTGTTCTTCAGTTCACAGACCGACTGTTTCATCACTAATTCCCTCGAATCCTCTCTTAGAGATGCTGAAATCAATGCATTCATCGACCCCGATCATGAAGAAGAGATCAATCCTGCACTATTGCGAGCCATCGAGGGATCTAGAATCTCGATCGTATTGTTAACGAAGGAGTACGGAGACTCCAGGAAGTGTTTAGTGAGACTGGAGAAAATCATGGAGTGCCACAGAAGAAAGGGTCAAGTGGTAATGCCAATTTATTATGATGTGAATCTGTGGGAAGTACGAAAGCAGAATGGTGAATTTGGAGAAGCGTTCGAAGGACTACTGAAGGGGATGTGCGTGAGCAAAGAGAAGGAGATGAGATGGAGAAGAGAGTTATCTCAAATTGCGTTGTTTCCTGGTTGGGACGTCTCAACTTGTACTACCAGGTATCTTGCGGATTATATTCCTAAAATTTCTACGTGACTTGATATTCTCCCTTGATAAAATCAAATGATCCTAATATATGTCATTTGTATGAAAAGCAAGCAAATTTTCAGCACTTCCGAACTTGAAAATTTAACTAAGTTTTAACATCATTTGTCCACCAAACCTGGTTGATTTTCAATTGTATGTGTTCGTTTTTGGCCTAAAATAATCATTTATCTTAAATTATTTTTCCCAAGTTCCAGAAAGTTTTTTTTTTTTGTTTCTGTTCTAAAGATACAATTTAAAGGTTCCATGATTCAATCACATTAAGACTGATTCGTCATGAAATTTAGTATTCTCTTCTTTTTGTTTTGTTTTTTAGAAAAACCATGTCATATAAAATACAGGGAAAATCACAAATAATAGACCTCTAAATATTGCAAATAACCAATCAAGACTACGGAATTATGAAATTGAGTTTACACATCTAGGAGTAAAAAAAAAATTTCAACTCAAATAAAATAATTTCACAACCCCCTTAAACTAAATTTTCAACCCAGTTAAAGTGATTCCAATACTAGCAAATTTTAAGTTAGTTGATTGTAAGTTTGGGGTAAAAAAGTTTTTCAACTCAAATAAAGTAATTTCATAATTAAACCCCTTCAACTATCTATCTTGCCGGGGCTAATGTCTACTAGAGACTTCCAGATCTCGTGGGCCTCAATCATCTTTTGTTGCACTTGTATTTGTTCTCTCAGCTCAGAACATCAACTAAAGAATCTATACCTTCTAGAGTCTTCTTTTCAGCTAGTATTTGTTCTTCATAATACTTATACCAACACCCCTAACATGACCCAAGTAATAATGATTTCCAAATGCCTTTTTCAATACATCATCATCATCTAGAAGCTTGCCTCTTGAGACTTCATTTGAGATGGTACTCTATTCATCATAATTTAGAAAACATAAGTTACTAGAAATATAAATTATTAACATGTTATCTTTAACTAAGAACGTTAATACTTACAACTTTTTTAGCAATTTCTTAAATATGTTCACCCACATAGTTTCCATCTTTGTTGGTTTGGCTTAATATAAAAAGTATGGCCTACAATATAGAGCTATTTGGTGTGCCCTCTTAATTGATCTATGCATAAGAAAGTTTTAGTGACATAACATATTGAATATCAACTAATAAATTCAAAATTATTAACAAAAACAAACATACCATGTCTTGCTCAATTCTTGAATGCCCTAAGCGCCCTTTAAGGAAGGGAAAAAGATTTTTCATCCTCAAGCCTTTCTTCTTTTGATTCAATTCCTATGAAAAAAAACAAAAGAAAAGAAAAGAGAATGAGTCCAATGATCAATTCTTGTATGATTATTACACAAAATACCATGATCCTTACCAAGAATGCTTTGTCAAGATGCCTCGCAAAAAAAGCATCCCAATGCTCTTATTTGACAATGGGTCTTATCAACTCAAGGATTATAGAACTAATAATTCCATAGGCTGGAGTTAAGTATTTTGTTCCTAAGAAATACTATAAGGTTCGGTGTGCCTTATATGCTACATGCATGACTTAATGTTTTTGATTGGTGTCAATCTCAAATGTTAACTACTCAATCAACAAAATCAAGTTATAAGTTAGAAAATTGACATGACAATATAATAAACTAATTAATATTATATATATATATATATATTACCTTAACTCATTCCCATATGAAATCTATCAAGGCTAAGTCTATATCGTGCCAACTATTAATTGACAAGCCTAAAGTCGCTCCTCTAGTTACAGTTCTAATGTAACTAGAGAATTTGTTTTTATTGGTCTTAATTAGTTGACCCTTCAAATTCTATTAAAAAAGGATATTTCTGCCAAGTACCAACTGTCTCCTATTTACCTCACTTATCAGTACTAGGCCTTTTATAATCGATGTAGCTACAGTTTCTTAAGTAGCTTTAGTCATGGGTCTAGTAGTGGTTGTAGAGGGATGATCACTAGCCAGCTTGTTAGTAGGCATGTTAATGAGCTCACTGTTGATGCTTAGGAGATTATCCAATATATAGGTCATTATTGCACAACATAGAGGTCTCACAAAGTCTCTTGTAAGGCATTTTGGGAGCCATTTACCAATTATACAATTGACAAATAGTTAGAAAATTTTGACACAAATAGTAAAAAAAATTAAAACATATAAGTGACAAATGAAAGACAAATAGTAATTAAGAAATTTAAAACGTACAAAACACAAACAAAACACAAATAATGAGAAAATTGATCACCACGTGATTAAGTTGATCTTTTTCTTTGCCTTAACTTATGTTGAACTTTTTCTACCCTTATAGCCTGATTTAATTTCTTAGTATTCTCTTTAATTCTTTTTCCCCTCTTTGAAATCCACATACCTTCATTGTGATCATATCTCATATAGTTGGCATCATCTTCAATGAGATTACTTTCAAGTGCTATCCTTTAAATGGATCTTCCTCAACAACTTCATTTTGAGGATCAATCACCTCTTCAATTGCTTTGTTTGACAATAAAATAATGAGCCAATTTCTTTTCGTATGATCAAGGACATAGAACATCTATTTAGCCTATGATGTCAAAATAAAAGGCTCATCTTTATATCCATACCATGGAATTCATCTACATAAACCCTGACAATGCATCAACATAAACGCCATTATTATTATCAACCTAATTACAATTGAAGACTAAAAATTTAAACTTAATATAGTCCAACTTTAATATGTTCTCAATCACTCTAAAATATGACATTTGTGCAATATAGATTTTTTGTCCTTCACACTAGATGGATGCTTCACTTAAGCTACTAGAGTTTCACGAATAATTTGTATTATACTCCAATCATCTTGTTCTTTAGCATAAAATGTGTATCCATTTCTTAGATGGCTAGTGCAAGAGACAACTTGCATCTTTGAACATCTAGCCAATTATTTTAGTCTTTTAGAAATAGAATTACAATCGGAATTGTACTTGTCAAAACATATTTTTTTGGCCACCTATGAAATGCTCACTGTGTTCTTTCTCATACCAACTTTATGTTCTTCTAGGATTATTCTTTTTAATTTTAGATTCATGCTTGTCTACATACTCGTGAATAACTTTGAGTTGTGCAACACATAAAGTTGTGCTTGTTCCTAATATTTTTCTGGAATAGTGACTAATTTGTGTCGCTTTATTCCTTCCCTATCTTCTCTTCCTATATGCCTATCCATAAGAAGCCTAACATATTTGCCATCTCTCAAGACCTCCTCATGGAATTACACTACCTCTTTATTAATCTACCTCTCAACAATACAACCTTCAAATCGACTTCAACTTTCAACATACCCTTTCAGTTCCTTCATGTTATGTTCAAATGGGTGTAACCATTTTAAATAAGCTAGGTAAAAAATTCTATGACTTAACCAAATGAATAGCAAGGTGAATTATTATGTCAAAAAATGCAATTGGAAATACATTTCAAGTTCACATAATCTCCTTGCATTTTGGCCTTGCAACCTCAACAATTTGCAAGGGTTGATCACTTTTCTGGAAATAAAATTGAAGAAGAAACACAGTTTAGTGATTGCATCATGCACCTCATTTGGTAAAATTGAACATGTGTCCATTAGAAGAAAATTTTTCATTAAAACATAGTAGTCATTAAATTTTAAACCCTATAACTTTATGACTTTCATAGACACAAGGTTTTTAATATTGGAACAGTAATGCTTTAGAACTTTAACTACACCAAGAAACTAACATAATGTATGACTTCCATTCTCCTTTAGCACCATGTCTTTCCTTATTCCTATAAAAACTATACCTAGCCTTGTTTCAATGTCATCTTTGCTCTTCCTTGAAATATGTAGTAACATTCCAATAACACTTTTACACAAAATTTTCTTAATATGAATTATATCAAGAAAATGCCTTACTCCAATGTCCTCCTATACAGCAACTCAAAGAAAATATGTCTCTTTTTCTATCCACTTGTACTGATGTTCCTTATAAAAGGTTTCACAAAATTAATATCAAATCCTTAATCTTTTCAAATAACTTATCACTAGATAATAGTGGAGGTAGAACAATTTCTTTTGAATTACCATGAAAAGATTTTCTTGATCTTTGGTAATAATGTTGTTGAGGCAACCATTTATGGTGCCTGATATAGACATTTTTTGTACTATATTCTAATCTTACTGACTGTGTTATCTTTGTAATGTAATCTCTGACATTACCAAACACACAGAACACCATACATGAAAGACCATTATAATAACTAGAATTGGTTAAATCCTATGAAAATGGTCATCATAACACAAGAGTTAGAAAAGTTTAAGAAATTAGGATTCTGAGAAAATCCTTTTGAAAGATTGTTTGAGCTCAAAATAAAGTTTAAAATCATTTAAATAAGATAACAGAAGCATGAGAAATCCATCATATGAAATAATGAGCAGAAAAAAAATTTCTAGCAACAAGAGTACAATGTGCCATGACACAGTGCATTGTCTATTGTGACAGACTGCATAAAGAAAACGTCCCTCTCTGTGCCTCGCGCTGCGTATGATGGACAATGAGTTGCGACACTCGACCATTGTTATGATAGCAAGCTGCTATCATAGCATCGGGCTAACTTTCAGAGCACTTTACTGTCTGACATCTGATTCAAGTGATTTATGTGTCCACTTATAGCTCTTTGAACCACCTAGCTATTGTCATTGATCTCATACCCAAACACTAACCCACAAGAGATTTGGATACTCAAACCTAAAATGACACATCTTCTTTCTAAAACCACTACCAAAGTGTCCAAATCCCTAAAACAAGTGCTAATAACTGTGGTACCACTTGAACTAACTCAAATGGACAACAAATGACTTGTACAAGCAATCAAAACACAATAATGACATTCCAGACTAACACATATTTCACATAAATCTCAAAGGGGTATAACATACAACAATCTTTACAGTGGCCCAACTAGCACTTGCACTAGTATC